ACGGCAAATATTTTCATGTTAGATGCTCTGCCCATATCTTAAACTTAGTTATCAAAGAAGGTTTGAAAGTCATTGATGAATCTGTTGCGAAAGTTTGGGAGAATGTAAAGTATGTTGATTCTTCTGAAGCTAGACTTATAAGGTTTCAGCAGTGTGTTTCTAGTTGTAATTTAGCTACAGGTGTAAAGCTATGGATGGATGTTCCTACTAGATGGAATTCTACTTTCTTAATGCTTCGTCGAGCTCTTGATCTTTTACCGACATTGAAAATGTTCGGTAGGATAGAGAGCAATTATCACTTGGCGCTTACTGCTCATGAATGGGAAATGTAGAAAAAATGTGTGATTTTCTTGAACCCTTTTATGACAATACTAATTTGTTTTTCGGTTCTGAATATCCCACCTCAAATCTTTATGTTCCCAAAATTTGTAAAATTGAGTCACTATTAGTGGCTGCTTCTAAAGGGGATGATCCAAAACTCAAAGAAATGGCAGATCTTATGCGTTGCAAGTTTGATAAATATTGGTCTGATTACTCTGTGCTATTATCTTTTGCTGCAATTCTTGATCCTCGGTTTAAGTTGAAATTTTTGAGACATCTTTTCAAGGATTTGTATGAAGCTCACATGGTTAAAACAAAAGTCCAGGAGGTGTATTATGAATTTGTTCAACAGTTTAACCATTACAAGGATCCTCTTTCTACTTATTCTTCCCAAGGTAGTTCAAATTCAGATGCATATCGTCCACGCAAGACTAGTAGAGTTTATGCGGTAAGATAACGACAAATATTATCATTATTCAATATGTTAATCACTTTTCTGGGTTATTCTGTTTTGATCTTTTTTATTTGTGATTTCATAATTTTGTTGTTGATGTTGCTAGTGGTGACATGGGTAAATCTGAATTAGAATTATACTTAGAATTGCCTTTAAAACCTTGTAATGTTGATGAGGAATTCGATATTTTAGGCTATTGGAAGGAGTAATCAACAACTTTCCCAAGTCTAGGTCGTATAGCTAAAGATATTCTTGCGATACCTATTACTACTGTTGCTTCCGAATCTTCTTTTAGCATGGGTGGTAGAGTTTTAAACAGGTGGAGGAGTTCACTCTTGCACAAACATGTTGAAGCTTTGATAACAACTTGAAATTGGCTGTATGGTTATGCTGAGTTGGAGAAAGATGGGGTTGAGGTGGAGAAGGAGAAGGACGTGGATGATACTTCTGCATAGCTAGATTTGTAAGTTGTATTTGATTTTGTAAAAATGAATGTAATGTTTTTTTAATCACTATAACACTATTATGTCTCTTACTCTCTTATTTGTTTGCTTATCTTTTTGCAGGTGGATGTCACTCACCCTCATTTGCTCACTGGTTTAAGACCTCAAATTAATCAAGCTTGCTGCCTGCTTGAGCCTTACTATCGTTTTCAGCATTTAAGTTTAAACTCTTTACTTAGTTTATATACTTGTTCAATTGTAATCACCTTGTTTTGGTGATGATGAATTGCTATCATTTGGTGATCTAAAATAATTGGAATTGCTATCATTTGAGCTTTTTTTGCTTCACTTACTCTTTCTACAATAAAGTTTCAGATTGAGATTATTTGAATTCATTCAATTACTGGAAGCTGATGATGATTTCAGAAGATTAGGCTTTAGTTGAGAGAGACCATTCTACTTCTTTGAATGGAGCAATCAAAGATCTTGAAAAAAGACTCTTTGCTTATGTTATATCATGAATTTGGGTGAATAAATAAAATTTGCAATTCTTCAGGTTGATATTGATTATTCGAAGTCTTCAATCAGCTTTGCTGTTGATGTGATGCAGGTAATGGGTTCCTCCGTCTGTTCTGTTTTACCAAAGGTAAGACAAGGGGCCAGTTCAAGTTTCTTGTCCTATTTTAGTGAGCTCTTTAATTATATTTGAAATTGCATATTCTGGATGCTAATCATTTACTCCATCTAGTTTCTATTGCAAATGCATGAAAGTTTGGGATGTAGTCTAGCATAAATTATTTAATCTTGTTATGGCTTAGGCAAACTTTCTTTCATGGTATTTATTTCTGGTTTAACTGTCTTTCTTTTTTAGTTCTTTATTGTGTTATGTGCTTCAGCTTACACATGCTTGCGCTTTAGGCTGTCATCGTGGAAGTTTTTTTTTTGAGAAAAAACTCTCGAAAGTTTTCCTTTTAATTTATTGTAATAAGTTTTTCAAACACATTTTGGATGGATGATTTGCAAATAGGTTTGATTGATATGGACATTATGACAAAAATTAGTTCAGTCAAATGTTTGGTTATGGTTAATGATATGGGTCCTCCTATTTTAAGTGCTATCAATGATGGTTTAGATGTTTTATTGCTCTTGCTCTCAAGTTGCTTTGTGCTACATCATTAAATTTTATTGTTTCTATACACGTTCTCATACATTGTTTTTTCATACACATATTTTGGTGCCTAATTTAAGGCCTGTGTTCGTTTCAAGAGAGAAGACATCTTCATAAATTGTAGTTTCTTGTAGAGGAATGGCTTGCTGGAAAATGAAAGCAATTGGAATCAAAATTGGATTAATATGGTTGTGATTTGGAGAAGCAAGAAATTTCCCACCTAGGAGGTTTTTGCCTGTTACTAGGATTTTCCACTCAGGAAATGGCTAATTAGGTTTTGTAAATGTATTAATGGCAGTTGTTGCTGTAGTTACTATTGAGGCCTTGAGGGTATAAGAATGTATAAGAGGTTTCCATGTAGTCAAGCCGAAAGGGCTGTATTTAATGTTTGTGATAAAGATGTGATGTGTCTATATGCTTAGTATTACTTGCGGTCTTCTTTTATTATTGGAATGCTTCATTGTAGCTGAACTATAATTATCAAGTACTTGAATCTAAAACAAATAAATGTTTCTTCTTAATTGATTTTGATGCGTATGTGGAGTGTTTATACTAAATTAAAGAGATGCAGATATGTACATGTATGCTAAGGTTAAGATATGAGACTTGGTATATATATGTACAACAAATATATACTATAATTAACACCTAAATTTGGGGATGATGCTTCTTTCTTTTGCTGGATCGACTTGGTCTCCCTGCATCCAAGACAAAATACTTTGATCAATATTAACATAGAGTAGTTTAGCCTTACGAAGTTTCGACATAACGAGTAGCTTAGAATATATATAGCATATATCTTTATTCAGTATCTGATCTACAATAATAAAGATGTACAAAATAACAAGTCGAGTTGATTTCAGGTCAGGTCAATGACAAATTGGGTTGAATTTGGGTCGGGTCAATAACAAGTCGGGTTGATTTCGGGTCGGGTTAGTGACAGATCGGGTCGGGCTAGTAATAGGTCGGGTTAAATTCGGGTCGGGTTAGGAATAGGTCGGGTTATTAACAGGTCGGGTTAAATTTCGGTTCAGGTCGGGTTCAGTTCAAGTCAATATTTTACAGGTTATATTCGGGTCGGGTCATCTCCAGGTCGGTTCATGTTCGGGTTCGGGTCTCAAATACTCGGGTTAACTCGGGTCTAGGGTTGGTTTCAGGTCGGGTCATATCGGGTTCGGGCCATCATTTTTACCGGGTTTAGACGGGTCGGTTAATAATCGGATTCGGGTAGGTATTTCGGGTCGGGTCAGTTTTTAACAGCTCTACTCATGTATACTATTTTGGTCAGTCTCTAAATGATTATGCAAAATATTTATGGAAAAATGATTTTGTATGGAATTTTTTTTAAGGTAAAACACAATTGTAATAATGATTTTCTTTTGTTTGCTTCAAGAAAATTTTAAAGGGAGAGGAAATTTGATGTAGAAGGAAGAAGATGGATGAGAGGAGAAGAAAATGTGTGCAAGTATGGAGGAAAACGTGACATTCTTTCTAGAAACTAATGAAGTTTAGTTAGGCTATCCGCTACCTAAATGGGCAAAACATAACATTTTTTCTTTTCACAAGAAAATGTTTAATGGGAAAATCATTCTCTGCACCCAACTTCTTTAACTATATTACCATTAAATCTTTCTCTATCTATCTAATTTTTTTTCTTCTAATTAATCCACCGTATAGTCGCATACTAGTAAACCTAAGTATTGTTTTATCATCTAATTTTCACAAGTAATACGCATACTCAAATCTAAGAGGATAATAATTTGAGAACTAAGGGGGTAAAGAAAGCAATACTTTTATTAAATCTAAGTAGCAAAATGCGTTTCAACGTCCAATCTTGTATACACATGGCAAAAATTTATGATCTATACTATTTTTAGTAAGAACATGAATTCATTTACTATATTTTTTCTTTCTTTCTCGTTTTACCTCATGAAATTCTACCATATGAGATGATACTTGGAAATATTATAACAATTTGACATTCTAGCTTCGTCCATGTAGCGATAAGAGCAGGCCTTTTTCTTTAGGATTTGTTTATTATATTTTTTATTTCATTTCAATTCAATTAATACTCTCTAAATTCTAATTATATTTCAGCCCAATAGTTGGCAGCTAGCATATTTTATACTCTCTCCATCCCATAATAATTGGGATGTTGGGGTGGACATGTAGTTTAAGAAAACTATAAGTGGGTTCATTTAAAACATTTGTTTGTTGTATAAAAGATTCTCTTTTGTATTTTATATTGTAAGAAAACAACAAATGGGATAGGAGTGGGATAGGTAAGGAGAGAGAAAATGTAAAAAAATATTTTTTTGTTAGTGGTCCCATTTCATTATTAGTAACGTGTCAAGTATTATTTGACGGACGAAAATGGGAACTGTGTCAAGTATTATGGGACGGAGGGAGTAGGTATTTGTCAAATTAGCTATTAGAAAAACATGTTCACTATTTCACTAATAGAAATTTGATTTTAGCACACCCTTAATTAATTTTGGCACCCCCCTATGTGAGAAGAGCATAGAGAACTGTGCTCTCACATTAAGGTGTGACAAAATTAATTCTCTCACTAATAGTGAGTAGTAAATTATACTAATTCGTACTATTTAAGATATCTGAGATAACTTTTGATAAACACTACTTTACAAACTACACTAGATTATTACTTGCATTATTTTGAATCACAAGTAAAAATATTGGAAGATTTTTCAAAAATCGTTACCGAATATGCCCTTAATATCCGCCCTTAGTGACAATATTATTTATAGCTTTAAGCCCTTTTCTTTACTTGAAACAAATTTTCCCACAAAATTCACAAATCCATAAATATAAAAATACAAATATGAAAACCAAATAATATCTCCCCGCCACATTTAACGGTCAAAATACAATGTCAACAACCTCAAACTACTACTCCTCAATCCTCAAAAAATGTTGCGAAACTCTAAACTTTAAACTTGTAAAAAAGCTTCATTGCTTCATCATCAAAACCCAGATACTTTTCTATCAAACACTCTTATCAGCACATACAATCACTTCGGAAATTTGGTTTATGCACGCCATGTGTTCGATCAAATGCCAAAACCAAACCCCTTTTCTTGGAACATTCTATTGTCAGCTTATTCCAAGGCGGGCCGTCTGGTCGAAATTCTGGATTTCTTTCATTCTATTCCAATTAAAGATGGTATTATATGGAATGCGTTTATTTCAGGGTATGCTAATTGTGGGAAATATAATAGTGCTGTGATGGGTTACAGGACTATGTTAGAGAAGGGTACTATGAACTTAAATAGGATAACGTTTTCAACGATGCTTATATTGTCGTTGAATATGGATTGTGTTGATTTGGGTAGGCAGCTTCATGGGCAAATTGTAAAGTGTGGGTTTCTTTCTTATATGTTTGTGGCTAATCCGTTGGTTGATATGTATTCCAAGTTGGGATTTGTTCGTGATGCACAACGGGTTTTTGAGGAGGCACCTGAGAGGAATTTGGTGATGTATAATACTATGATTGCAGGGCTTTCGCGTCTTGGGATGTTTGATGAGTCGTGGTGTTTGTTGCATAGTATGCCATATAAAGATTCGATTACATGGACAACTATGATTACAGGACTTACCCAGAATGGTTTTGATAGGGCAGCTGTTGTTCTGATGAGAAAGATGCGAGAGGAAGGTTTTGCCATGGACCAGTTTACTTTTGGAAGTGTCTTAGCTGCTTGTGGGAGAATGGGATTCTTGAAAGAAGGGAAAGAACTTCATACTTATATAATACGAACAGGATATCAAGGGAACGTATTTGCTGGCAGTGCTCTCATTGACATGTATTGCAAGTGTAATTGCATACAGTATGCAAGGGCAGTATTCGAGAGAATGACCCACAAGAATACTGTCTCATGGACTGCAATGCTAGTGGGTTATAATCAGAGTGGACTGTCTGAGGAAGCTATTAAAACTTTCCTCGAGATGCAAAAGAATTCAATTGAACCGGATGACATTACATTAGGAAGTGTTGTTAGTTCGTGTGCTGATTTATCTTGTTTGGAAGAGGGTGTTCAATTTCATAATCAAGCTTTATTGTCTGGTTTAATATCCTTTGTTGCTGTTTCTAACGCACTCATTACCTTGTACGGAAGATGTGGAAGTATTGAAGATTCCTTAAAGTTGTTCAACGAGATGAATGTCAGGGATGAAATCACCTGGACTGCATTAATTTCTGGATATGCTCAATTTGGAAAGGCCCGTGAAACAATGCATTTATTTGAGGAAATGCTTTCTCATGGACTTAAGCCTGATGAAGCTACTTTTGTCGGTGTTCTTTCAGCATGTAGCAGAGCAGGTCTAGTAGAAGAAGGAAAACAGTATTTTGACTTGATGGTGAAAAAACATGGTGTAGCTGCAACTCCTGATCACTATACTTGCATGATTGATCTTTTCAGTCGTGCTGGGAGGTTAGAAGAAGCCAAGAGTTTTATTTCTGAGATGCCTTACATCCCTGATGCAATTGCTTGGGGTACAGTCCTGAGTTCATGTAGAGTCTATGGGAACATGGAAATCGCAAATTGGGCTGCCGATTCTCTATTTGAACTAGACCCTCAACACCCTGCAGGTTATGTCTTGCTTTCCAGCCTATATGCTGCTGAAGGGAAATGGGAACATGTAGCTCAGTTGAGGAAGGGAATGAGAGATAGAGGCATAAGGAAAGAGCCTGGTTATAGTTGGATTAAGTTTAAGAATAAAGTACATGTATTCTCTGCTGACGATCAGTCCAGCCCGTATTTGGACCAGATATATGCTGAGATGGAAAAGTTGAACCTGAAGATGATTGAGGAAGGTTATAAACCTGATTTGAGCTCTGTTCTTCATGATGTTGAGGATTCCGAAAAGATGCGAATACTGAAGCATCACAGTGAGAGACTTGCAATTGTTTTCGGCATGATGTTTGTACCGCCTGGCCTCCCCATTAGAGTGGTTAAGAATCTTAGGGTTTGTGGTGATTGCCACACTGCAACAAAGTTCATATCTAAAATTACACAGAGAGAAATACTTGTAAGAGATTCTGTCCGCTTTCATTTATTCAAGAATGGAACTTGTTCGTGTGGAGATTTTTGGTGAACTCTGTTATCAAGTATGATAATGAGGATATTGAGCGCTTTACTTGGTTTCTTACATCTTTATTGTGAAGTCTTTGCACCTGTGGGGACAGTGCAATGAGGAAAAGGTTATATGAACAGCCTAGTTCAGGTAACAGTCGAAGCATTTGCTCATGTAAATGCAGTTTTCTTGAGGCTAAAACAATAGAGGAATGCTTGGGGCTTGTCAGAGATGCATGACTCTGATTGCTTCCATTCAGAGTGGTTTCACAATTAGAGTTTGAGATTTGCTTTCAGCTACGCTGTTACTCATGAGTCTGCTCGCTGAACTGGGATACAACCCTGAATAAGGACTGCAAACATCAGTGGACAAGTGAGCCTTTATCCTTGTTTGTAATTTCAGGTCAATTTTATTTCATGTTTCCATAGGTACTTCTCTAGCGTATGCACATAGGTAGAACATCATTGGACTTTCATACTTCATAATAGTGTTTACAAAAGTACACTTTATAGCTTCATTAATACCCTGTTCTATGAAGGTTACCAACACACATTGTTTTGGCACTGAGATTACTGACATGAATAAACATATAATTCTCTCATCATCAATGAAAGCTGATTCAGTCAGTATCAAGAAAATTGTTCAATTTTGGAATACAATGGAGAATGGACTATATAGTATATATTACGTGTTAATAATTAGTTGTCCAATACTTCTTAGCTGCTGTCAAGTAATAGGTCTGTAAAGTGTCTTTTCCAATCAAGAGTTGAATGAAACATCTCTGCAATTGCTTGATGAGGTTTCATATGCTTCAATTTTTCTCTAGGCGAGCTGTGAGTGTCTTACTAAAAAGTATTGTATAATTTAATGATTTGTACATTGCTTGGACAAATTAAAACTGAGTATTAATCTGTTATTTATAAAATAAGTTGATGATTTGAAAATTCATGTACAGATGAATCTAACAAGATTCCGTGTGACTAGGTTTTTAATCGTAAATAACCAAGGATGGTCAAAGTGAAGGATATGAATAGTGTCAACAGTTATTATGTTACAACCAAAAAAAAAAGGAGAAAAGTGTAACTTAACAAAAACACATCTTAAGTTTAGTGCTAATGGATACTAACAAAACTTGCCTGATGGTATGGCCCTAAGTAACTCGGAAATGAAAAATCTGGCTGTTACTCCATTAATAGCTTGGAGCCTTTTTGAATGAAAAGTAGTTTGATGAAAGAGATCAACTGCATTGTATAAATGTAAATAGGATTCATGGTCTCAGTTCCTTCTTGATTATTTATGAGCCTGTTAAGTCCAAAAGGGAAATAGTTTTATTTACAAGGGAAAATAGAATCCCTTTCTCACAGTGATTTCCTGTATGCATAAAGAACAATAAACATCTAGTTAAGTCTCCCAAGTCTATACAAGTGTTATTTTCAGACTAATATCTATTTTTTTCTTTGTCATTCACGTTATTTCTAGGATCACCGTGTACTTAATCTCTCTAATATTCAAAGTGTCACATTCACCATTGGAAAAATCAAGTGGTAAAGGTGCCAGTGAGACTTGGCATCTTATCTAGGTATCGTAGAATGTTTTCTGCCGTCTGTCTTGTGTATGCATCTCCATGATGGAAGGCAGTCACCACTGTAATATAAAATAACTTATCTTGTGATACAAGAGATAAAGATCTTTGCCCACCTTTCACTAAGAACCTCTCAATCATCCAAAATGCTTTCTGCCACAGAATTTCATTCTTATGATATCGCACTGCTTTTAACACTCGTTGTATCGTATTCATCTCATCCAGTATGTTCACACTCTGTTCCACATCAACGTTATCATCCAGTAATGTCGATAATGCTGATAATGCAGCTTCAGCCACCTGAACATTCTGATGATCCAGGCATAATAAGTCTCTCAACTGCCCCTGCTTCAACTAAGAAAAATGTATCTTTTTTGGAGCAAACACCTTTATGAACTACACAAAGTTCCACTTTGGTCTTCCTTGATGACCCAGAGGCTAAAAACTTGGGTTGGTAGAAAAGATTGAAGAACTTCTTTCGCTTTCTTTGTGATGGAAGAACCTGGGATGGCTTTGAGAGACGTACTGATTGTGCTGAGAGTTTCTCTAATCCTGTAGAAGCTAAGATTTGGACATCATCTTTTGATGTTTCCAATAACAAATCAGTTAAAACTGCAGTGAAATTGTGATTTATTGCCAAAAACAACATCTGAGAATCATATAATGTTGCTGTGAATCTGACTAGTACACCTACTAGCCCCTCCAAGTACATACAGGCATACCTGTTTTGTCTTGTTCCGCTTCTTTGGATTTGACTTATTGAATGCAAGATTTCAGGGATTGTGTTCTTACTGAGCAAAGCCTGATTGAGAGTGAGGTTTTGATGAGGAAGTTTAGCCAGAAATGAGACTGATAGAGCTTGCCTTTCAGTGATCTGACTAGAGTTAGAAGGGCTTCGGATAAGACCCTCAGGTTGGCCATTTAATTTGCAGAGTCTGTCAATTAGTAAATGCCCTATGTGGGATGAGAGTAGAATCAGAAGTTTTATTGCTGCTACTGCAATTTCATCACTTGGGTTGTTGATGAGTTCAATAAGTGTGTAGCTTGCTTCACCTTCCCTGACAGCTGATGTAATTGGGTTATCTGACTTCAAAGATTTTGCCATGCAATAGAGGATTCTGATAAGATTCAAATTCAGATCATCCGGGGTGGAATTTTTTATCATGTAGACGATGTTGAATACGACATAACCTGAAACCATGGTATGGCCTTGACTATTTACAGTCAGATTCTCAAATCCGATCCCAGATTCGAGGATATTTGCTAGTATTGCCGAGGCTTCTTTAAGTGAATCCATCGGTTCACTATATATTTTTTTGGTAAATATTTCTTCAATCATATCTCCCACAATTCCAGCTTCTACTAGTATTTTACCACTGGCAGAGTAAGAGGATATTTGAACAAGAGCTTTAAAGACAGCTTTTCTAGTCAAGGGATTTCCGTTGTGCAGCATTTGGATGAGAACAGGAGTTGTTCTCTCTGCCACATAAGTCTTGCTGTCATCTTCAAGTACTATTTCACCTAGGTAGGTCATCATTTCCAACTTCCTCTCCTCAGATCCTGCTCACAGTTTCAAGATTTTACATGGTTTAGATCATGTTGTCTAAATGCATTAAATACTTCTAGTTGGCTAACTTTGCATAGAAAACTTAAGGGAAATTGGCATGATTTGTGAATGGTAACTCAAAACAATGAGAAGTAAATATTGGGTTTACCTTCAATCAGATTGCTAAGAAGAGGTTCCAAGTATCCTATTTCTGCCATGAACTTAATATTGCTGGGACACCGCTCCATATAATTCAAAATTTGACCTGCTGCTTCTGAAGCAAAGGTGTCTATAGATCTTTTGTATTTTGTTTGAAGCAGAATCAGAATTCCTCCAGTGACACCTCCTATTTTCTCTGAGAGAAAACTAGACTTGGAAAACTCAATTAGGAGTAATAGTGCAGCGTGTCTTATTGGTTGGTAGCTGCTGAACAGCATTCTGATTGTTGCAGATATCGCTGGTGTCTTCGCAATTTGCTCCTGCTCATCCAGTATTATCAGTCAGATGAATAAATTAATAGTCTTGTTAAAAAAAAAATTAAAAAAAAAAAAATTAGCTGCTTTTTGTGCATAAATGCAACTGTTGCCGGACAAAAACTATTAGGCCGAATAAATAAGGATTTATAATATCTGTACCATTTGGTTCATCAGCTTTGGATATCTGTATTTCTTACAGCTGATACATTATTCTCTTGGGTCTTTCTGTTAGCTGATCACTTCTCTGTCCTTTTGCCTCTAATATCTACTTGTTAGCCAAATCTAACATTCATTTTTCCTAAGATATTTCAATTCATATATATGGATAATAAAAGGAAAGTCTTCTTATTAGGGGAGGGTGTGGGAGAGGGAGAGAAGGGTACTAACCTTTGCTTCACCTTGCTCAACTAATAAACGAATCATTCCCAATGTTACGCATCTCACAGTTTTGTCTCTTAACTCCAGAAGCCTGACAAGCAATGGTATTATTCCTATGTTGTACACTTCCTTTATTTTCTTGGGATTTCTTTGGCAGAGGTTCTGCAAATCCTTCAATGCTTCGAGTATCATACTCTCTGTGCTACCTATGGACAAAGCTGCACGTATGACTTTGAGTCGTGCAGAATCATTTCTGTCTTTCCACTCATGTACTATGTTTCTTAATGCTATATTGGGACTCATAGCCCTGCTCTGGAGCTTCTCCCTGGTGATAGGACAGTCAACTTCTTCTGAATTTCCAAATTTTTTGAAATACTCTGTGATAGCCCTCCTCTCGTACTTCAGTCCACTACTTATGGTCACTGGGTCATCCATGACCTGGTTAGTAAGTGGACAAATGAAACTCTTATACATTGGCTCCATATGGGTATCAACTTCTGTCATACTTCTTGATAATCTGTTACTCATGTTTCCAACAATTCGATTGCTGCTTTCACTTGCACTTCTAATGGCTTCCATTATCTGTGGAGATAGATACATGAGAGTTTTCTGAGCAGACTACCATGCTGGTTGAATATAGGTCTGATTCTATTGGCATTAGTTCTACATTTGGGTGATTCTCCAGATACGGTTGATTTGTTTTCTGCTGATTGGGCTTGGTTTCTTGTACTGGACTGATCTCAAAACGAACATTTCTCATCTCCTCTGAGAGTGAGCTGATTGTAATATCTGCATACTCTTCATCCTTAAATGCAGATGGTGGTATTAAACTCAAGTCATGACCCATTTGATTAATAATTTCTTCTAGCTGTTTTATCATGTTCTTCACCTCATCATCCATGATAGTCTGTCCATTTTGTTGAAGTTTCCCTAAGATGCCTTTCGCCATATCACTGCTTTGAGATAGAGATTGTAGTATCTCAGTTTCATTAGCTAGGCTGTTCTCCGAACTCTGAAGCCCCCTAATAGCTGAAGAAGTACGGTAGAAATAGCTTGCGACAGCAAGGAAGTTGTTATGTTCTGGATTTGCACTTGGAATGGATTCTATTATTTCTGAGAGCGATGCCAGTAACTGTTTGCTAATTCTCTTGAAATGCTTTACATCTCCATCACACTGAGGAAACAAGAAAATAGAAAACATTACACTGAATATGTGTGATTTCATTCACCCTTTTTAATTATTTTCTTTGTGAATGTACTGTATGAGTTGATTATAAGGCATTGGTGAGCTTCTCTCTCATCCATCTCTTTCATTGTAAATTTTAGCTGCTATTAATGTATGAACATATTGTGGCTACTAACAGGGAAGGTATATGCTCTTGGGTTGGAATTGGTATGATGTGAATTATGAGGGAAAGTTCGACTTCCTTATTTACAAAACGAAAAATATGTTCAATTCCTTTCCTGGAATTTGTCCAACCAAACGGATAGATCCTTTATGTGTTTTCTTATATTTTATAACTTCTTCTGTTGTGGTCCTATTTCAGCTGTATTTTCTTCTGTTTTCATATTAAGATATCGAAGAAACCCCCCTCCCTT